TTCAAGATATTAGGGACGGTTATACTGACCACTGTTCCCGTGTACGTAAATGTGCAAAATCAGAAAGGGGCGAAAGTTCAATAAGATGAAACTCCTCATAATGAATAAGATGAACTTTAAACTCATCCTGCTTTGCAGGACTGTAGCTTATTAAGAAGAGAAGAAGTTTTAAAAAAACCGTTTGAGAGTTTTTGAAATCGTTATACAGCCACTGGGTTCTTAGCTGCTCTGTTCCTAACAAAACAAATAAATTTAATGCTATACATACTTGACATATAATATCTTTATTGGTAAAGCGAACAATGAGACGATATTTTGGTGTATTATATTTATTTCGATCTTGATGAATAAGAGCTTTACGAGCTCTAAAATCGGTTTTACCCTCTAGATAAATAGAAAATGGTGGAATGTTAATTAATTTTTATGGCATAAAAGAAAAAACTTCTTACGTCGACGTCGTTTTGATTTAACTTGAAATCGTTTGAAATACTGTTTGTTTTTAACAACTTTAACGAACGCCTAAAAACAAAGGAAAGAAAACACGAATCATAAATAGAGGGTTAGATCAAAGATGACTCAATACAAGTTACTCAGCTGCTTGGGAGCTAACTGCGGAAGTGAACTGGATTGAAATTTATTTAACACAGACGTAGAATATCACAAAAAAGACTTGTGGCATCCGAACACACCTCATGCGCGGTCAGACGAAGAAGTACTGTATCTTTCGTGCCTGTTATGAGTAATTTTTATATTACTATAGTTCCTTACACTCTAATCCTTCTGCACAAACATCGAAAAGTTGATAAAGACAAGAGTTTGAGAAACAAATTAGAGCCACGAGAAGACAATTATGAACGAGCATCGGTATAAAAGATATTAAAAATAATAATGCTCACCATATATTAACGTTAACAAGACGTCAGCTTTAAGATTGAAATTTCCTGCAAAAGAACCGGAGTACAACCACGGCTCCACATTTAGTCTTCAAGCCTCCCCTGTTCTATATCTAACCAATCAAAAGTAGTACAGAATATAGTCTACTTGCTTCTCACTAAAGAAGAACCTATTGCCAGTCCTCTAAAGTATTGAAAGATTATAAGTGTGTTGTATTTGGAGAATATCTTTTTGTAGAAAACTTTGAATTTTAAACTAATAATGCATTTCTCTATCGAACTGCATCCAGCATTACTTGAACTAAATTTGGATAGGCGTAAAAAACACCCATTGAAATAAGATAGATTGTGACTCACACCAGCTGTCGCCAGATAATAGAGGGATGGAAAACACACTGAAAAACAATGAGCAGTTTTTAACTTTTGTTTTAACCTCGATTTATTTTTATTATGCGTTCAACAACTGTTGCATCTGATGATGATCTCATCTAGTGAGAGACCCGCATTTGCACTTTCATTTCTGTCCATAAGCAACTCACGATTAATACAATTTGTTAATGTACATGTTCAGATAATGAAATTCTTTACGTTTCGAGCACTAGTTTTCTTATATATTTGTTGTGTTTTAAATAAACAAAAACAATTAAACTCGTTGTTCTTCAATAATGAACGTTAATCTATCAATTGAAACGGAAAATGGTCGACGACAAAGCGCTCTGTTTTATCACAATGAAATAAGACGCAGAGACAAAGAGCAACGAATATTTTTAACTGATTTTTAAAATTTTTCTTTATAAAACAACAAACACTAAGGAGAGGAACAGAGAACGTAAGAACATTATTGTTTTCTCCAATGGCGTAACTACGGGGCTGGGGGCATTGGGTCATAGCCCAATACGATTTGAGCCTTGGTCCAATAAGATTTTGAACTATATGATTTTCCCAGCTGTAGATCTGAAAAAAGATTTTTGGGCTCAGTGTTTTCTCGAATTATTATTGTGTGATCCAGCCGTTTTTTTCGAACTAGTGGAGTTGGCCCAATGGTAAAAGTCAGAGTTACGCCACTAGTTTTCTCGATACCGCAATAGAGTTTTAAAAACAAAGTAGATGGCTCAGTCATGCACATAGCAGAGCGAGGAACGTTTCTTTCTTATTAAATGGTGAGAAAAGATATTGGTAAAACACGATGCTCACTCCAAAAACGTTGTTTTATTCAACGAAACAAATGTATTTTGCTTCAATTTTCATAGTCTAACGGCATTTTCTCGGTTTTTTAAATGGATTCATTTTTGTTTAGCCTTTGACAGGTTGGTTCGTTCAACTACTCTTTACATCTAGTTTAAATCGCAGAAGAAATTATCTCAGACAATTCACTATGAAAAAACCAAGGAAAAGGCAAACGTTCAGCTATTTTACTTTTTTAGGGCAACTACTATCGTCTCAGTTTTATAATAAATAATCTCAATGAAAATCTTTTTCTGGAATTTTTAAGATCTTCTATACTTCTATATTAATGGCAAATATAAATGGTAATTAAAAGGTTTCACAACTATGTATGATGCAATATTTGCTATTAACCAACTATTTTTAGACGATTATGAGCGCATGAACAATTTGGAATGGCGTTTAAAACGTATTGAGAATATGTTAGGATCATTTGAAAAATGTGAAAATGAACGAGTAAGACGATAAGTGTGTATACTGTATTATAAAATGATGAACATTGATTTGATTTTATAGGCATTTCATAAAATAACCGAATTAAACGAAAATCTATCGCGCTATGCAAGTACAAATAGCAATGCCAAAACTATTCTGAAAAAAGGTAAATATAAATATCTAACATACAGGAAAGGATCAATCATGTTCATGTTGCTTTTCTTTAAAAAAAACAAGCTGATGATATTACTTATTTAACAAGTTCGGATTTTATGAGACGTTTGAATACGGATAAAACGACAAAATTAGAATTAATCCTATTAGGTAACAATAGTGTTTAGTTATATCTCAGTAAACAATTCTATCGGTTATCTTTCTATATGTAGAGGAGGAACGAATACGAAATGTAACAGATTCATTATCAAAAATTGCTGAATTAGCAAAAGTTCTGGATGGTGAACATTTCAATGGTAAGAGAGCAAAGTAGAAGAAAAATATAGTAAAGAAATTAAATATTCTTTTTTATTATTTAGATGTACCAAAACTAACCGAGAAATTGAACACTTTGATTGTAAATCATAATCAAATTAAGGTAGATGAAAATATGACAAGAGACGAGTAGAAATATTTCTCTTTTATTTAGACTGAGCATGGCACATTCACACAAGAATTGGCGACATTTTTACAAGATTATGCAGCATTTGTATCCTTTTTTTGTCTTTATTATTCTGTATAATTCACTTGTCAAATGGTTAGATAAGTATAAGAATCTTTTCCTAATTTTGCTCTGAAATTCTGAAATTGTTTCCTTGACAAATTGTTTTAAATAGACACTTATGTTGGACGAAAATCTTCAACGATATAAGAAGATAATTAATCGATCTCATGCAGTAATGACCGTTTCTGATGATCCAATTGACTAGGGTTATTTTTTGTAAATATTTTTTCATGGTGGATAAATTTTGGTGTAGATTTTTATGGGTTTTCGTTTTCATATGGTGTTTAATCTATATTTTAAACTCAATATACAACAAAAAGAATAGATGAAAACTTGACAAACAACAAAAATAAGCTTGTTTATAAAATTATTGCTCAGAAAATCATTTAACATACAGAATAAAACTATCAATTAGCAAACAATCGTTTTAGTGGAATTGTAATAACAAATTTGTAGCTACTATTTCTAAACTTAATATCATTCGTTTCATTTGGAAACTAAAAACAGAGAAAAAATATTATTTTTGTTTCTCAGTCTCGATTCTCTGTTTCCATATTTGTGTTTCATTTTCAATTTCTATGAGAAATTCTCGTTTATAACCGGATAAAGAAGAGAGAATATGCAACATTAAAAATGCCGGTGTTGTAAACGCAGCTTCAAATAGACGAAATGCCGGCGAATAACCTTGACATACATGTCCGATAAACTGCATGATGAGAGCGGTGAGCAAAATTAATAATGAATAAGAAAATGAATAAAATATTGAGAAATGATTAGTAAAAGTAATGGTCGGCCAGAGTAATAAACTGAATAAGAGTGAGTAGGCATATCCGACGCGCTTATCATAGAGAAAAAACATTATACAATAGAACACTGATATGACAAATGAAAATTTTAATGGCAAAGATTTTGGTAATAAATGATCAATAAGTTGTGCAAATGATTGAAGACTAAATACCAGAAAAGGTAATGCAACCATGTGTAAAAAGCGATTGATCCTTTCTGAATGATAATAATTAACAAAGCCAAACTCATTCACCAATGTATCACCCATAAAAAATGGTTTTAATATGTGAACTGTAATACCATCTTGCTTGATATTAGAATTAGCTTGTGCTGCCATGCTGAACAATCTAAAATAGACAAGCATATTCATTATATATTTTTTTTCAAAATAGTTTCAACCAAAGAAACTATATTTTTGCAGCGACAATAAGGCTTAAAAATATATACATCAAAAATTTAAACTGCTACACATAGCACCTGGCGTAGACATTCTCAGTGACGTCTCTAATTTGTTTCTAGTTCGATGCTTTTTTAAGTTATATTCTACTAAAAATTACCAAACTGCTCTTTATTAATTTCAAGAAGATGTTGTTCTACTTTCTCGACACCATCATTTCTTAGATCGAAAGTAACTTGTTTTTATACCTGTTTACATCGACTCTCTTATGGATCTTCATATAAGTTTCTTATTTCTTGTATTCTGCGACAAAGATCGCCAGTCTAACAAAAATTGCAGAGAAGACTATTGCTTAAAACTTTTAAATATACGTCTAATATTTTTTCAACTCCATTCTTCTCCATTCTTAGAAAAGAATCAGACACGAAACATTTTAGAAGCACTAACTAAGAATTTTTTAAAAATCTTACTCAATTCTTATATAAGATTTTCCATGAAAGTGAAAAGAATATCGCTGAATCTTATAAGAAACTTGCAAGATTCACATAGGCTTTTATAAGAAATTGGTAAGGATCGACAGAACTCGTACGTTATTCTTACAAAAGTTTTATCACATTCTTGTAAGATTGTTGCAAGTTTCTTATGAGAAATTTGATCGACTCCTCTACAAAAAAATTTCAGTGTAGCACTGAAGAAAGGCCGCCGCTACTAGTGTGCACGATATGCCATGTTGCACTGGCACTGGCTCGACACCGGCGCGCACTAACACCACAGTTTTCCAGTCACCGTTTTGTTTTCTAGGTTTAACTCCACTATGTTTTTACTCGGACTTTTCTTCGAGAACACGGTGCAATCAAATTTAAATGGTTTCGTCGAGCAGACGATGCTTTCATCATGTCATAATCTACCTGAAAAGGAAAACTTAGTGTGAATCGAGAGTCAGATCGTAAATTTAGTGGAAGTACACAGAAAATTCAGCTCTCTCTTCTCTTATCTAAACACATCCCATTTTCGCTATAGTCACAATGTTGAACAATCAGCGCTTTGGACAAATTTTCTTTTGAGAAACATTTATCGCACAGATCAATTAAGTTCTTCCATGCTGTATTTCTCAGTTCTGGTTCAATATTCAATTCTCAAAATAAAAGTGATAAAGGCTGACGTCTTTTGTTCCTTTACTTGTGAGTTATACCGATATGGTTACGTTTACCGTATGTGAAGTATTAAGTACTTGGACTTTCAGAGAATGTCCATCCATGGATGGAGACACGACAGTTGAGCCCGTGACAAATGAGCTCCGATAGATGAGCCTCGACAACTGAGCCTCCCGACAGTTGAGCCGTATGAAATCTGAGCCCCCGACATTTGAGCCTATCGCAGATGAATATCATCCAAAAGCCCAGATGATCATTATATTACTTAATTCGATATGATGAAAGAGGATCAACATATAGTACAACATCTGTCTATCCCACTAACTACTCGTCATATTTTTCATTGTACGATATACTATTTTTGTATGAAATCAATTGTAAAATCTTCCAAAGAGAAGGATCATCTTTTTCTGCCAGTTTTCGTTTTGCGACACGCAAATAAAAATTCAATCTACGTGGCGTTATGTTAGAAACAATTGTGTCGAACGAGTAACTTTTGATGATCCACAATACATTAAAGTTACAGATCATAATCATGAACCGAATCCCAACGAAATGATAGCGATGAAAGTCAAATCCGAAATCATCGAACTTGCAGTAAATCGAACGATCCACTGATTATGGCTGAGAAATTGCAAGCTGCACCTGTAAAAATAACAAAACGCTCTGCATACGAATATATGGGTGAGCAACTATAACAACTGATTGCTACTTTTAATTTAAAAACAAGAGAACAATACATTAAAAGAGTAAGGGCTTTGCTCAATTTTTGATGCTAATGATAATTTGTATAAGTAAACTAATTTCACATGTTATTCTCTATGTAAGGCTCATATTTCATGAAGCTCACCTGTCTAGAGCTCAAGTGTCGGAAGGCTTATTTGTCGCAGGCTCAATTGACGGTGTACCCCGTAGATATTGGCGCTCGATCAATTCGTTGCTGCAGCCAATCTAGCAATGTGAGAGTGAAGCGGTATAACTTGGCACTCAATCCTCTGTGCATCAAAGAGAACTGAACTGATGTTTACTACATTCTGAAAGCCACCGAGGACACTTGCATTTGTACATTTTCTTAATAAGTTAAGAAAAAATGAAGTGCGTGTATACACAACAGTCTTTTTCCAAAACATTGTTATATAAAATACACACGTGACGTACAAACGATTTAATATATGCCTTTGGGTGTATATATGCATCACGTGTGTACAGGACCGCAAATAACGGGAGGGTGAGCACCTCCCCAATAACTGAAAAAGCTGTTGTTAATTTATCTATTATTCCTCGTACAATTTTTTTTTATCAATTTCACACTATCTCAAAGAGAAATTTTGTTTTACACCCCCCTAATGTTCTGCTCCTATTTGCGACCCTGCGTGTGTATTCTAGATAAGCATCACGTGTGTATTCTATATAACAATGTTTTCGAAAAACACCGTTATGTATGACATATACGCACTTAATCGAACTTAGTTTATTAAGAAATGTTTCTCAAAAGAAAATTTGTCCAAAACTCTGATTGTGACTATAGCGAAAATGGGACGTGTTTAGATAAGAGAAGAGAGAGCTGAATTTTCTGTGTACTTCCACTAAATTTACGATCTGACTCTCGATTCACACTAAGTTTTCCTTTTCAGGTAGATTATGACATGATAAAAGCATCGTCTGCTCGATGAAAGCATTAAAGGGACAAAGTACGTACGGTAAGGCCATTTTTCATTACACAAATTTTTGAAGAAAAAACTATATGGTTAGAATCAGCATCAAATTCTGAGCAAAATGACGTATTTTTTTCAAAAAACTCAACTTTCAAGGTTCAAGTTCTTTAGCGAGCAAAGCGTCCTCTTATCTAGATTCTTTAACAGATGCTGCAGATTACTCAGATCTGTCTAATGACACCAATGACACTGACAAGTCAAATATTCTTTATTCACTTACACACAATTCAAAATAATTACAAAGCTTAATTTCTAGATCCATTTCAAATCTTCATCGTATAGTATAGGATATTCTAGAAAATCTTCTGAAAACCGTGAAAAAATTCTAGAAAGCTTAGGAAAGTATTAACAGATACATAGGATTCCATTTGTCATGCTTCATTCGAATATCACATTCATTTTGCTCAAAAATATGCTTTTGATATAGAAAACTTGATTTTTCTGGCTAATTTTGATTTTGCAAAGTTATTATGAGCACGCAAGCTTTTTTCTAAATTTCAATGTGATTCAGTGAATATGAAGCATGAAAAACTGCATTGATCTAAGTACTTAACTCGCTAGTTCACGTTGAAATAGAGACACAGTAGGCCAATCAAAAGGCTGATATTATATGAAATCAAACATTTTTTGCCTTTGGAAGAACTTTCCATAATTAATAATGATTTTGAATCGAATGCTTTGGTAAATTCTGATAGAACACACTAATGTTTCCATAAGAAAAATAGGTTTTAAAAACTTCAGAGTGCGAACTGCGATGGGCTCATGGCCAAAATTGAACTGAGGTCAAAAATATCTCTTGCCAAGGAAATTTTAGTTTCAGAAACATTTTCATAGAAAATGGACCTGATATTTGTGATCAGCATAACTACCTTACACTTCATAAGTAAAAAAATTGCATTCAGTAAGGAAACATACCATGCTTCATCCGTGTTGGTACTATGTATGGACTACCTTTTTACGCACTTAAAATGTGGTACTGCAATTCTGTTGGATCTATGTTTTACCATCTATCACCAGTAGAGCGTTCTTTAAAGCGTGAATTAACGACATTTGAAGTGTGTACGGCTATGCTTCAAAGTGCAGTCGAACCAGTCTACAATTCGAAAAAAATCCCAGGTTTTGAAGTATGGGTGTACCACAATTGAAGCTTCATCCATGATATTTTTATACTTGAAGTGTATGACTTGTTTACAGTGATATATTTATATTAAAGTCATGCAATTTCTACGTTTCCAGCGCGAAATTTTAACACTTAGAATATTCCCACTGTCAAAAGCTAATTTTACATTGAAAAGCCTTTCTAGGGAAAACAAAATAAATGAAAACTTGCAATATTTAGTATATTGCTGTTTTAGAAGACAAAAGTTACAGATATATTCTTTATAACTGAAGTCACAGGGAAACGCTGGTTTACAGATGATTCAAAACAGCTGTTTTAAACCCGTCTTTTTAAAACAGATTCAACAGTAGTTGGACTTTATTAAATGGTTATTGTATCTACTTTCTGCCTATCAATCAATCAATCAATCATTTGCCAATTGTTCCTGTTTCCGGCACCGTAAGGTCTTTCCACTTACTAAAGATCAAAAGTAAAACTGAAAAATCCAAAAAGATAAATAGAAAATATTATTTATTATTCGATAAATGTACAAGAAAATAAAAAAAAAAGGAAAATTAACTCAGACCTAGACAAGAAATCTTTAGCTAAAAACAACGACTAATTTTGTTATAATAAAACAATTCGTTAAACCGTTTGATGTTTGCCTAAATAACTGAAACAGTTGATGCAATTCAGACTACAAGAATAGCAGTTGATTAGAAGACAGAGCTTCAACATAGAATAAAAGAACCAAGATGGAGTCTATCGTCTAACACTTAGAGCGTAGTAACAACCAAGCATACATTTCAAGTGTGGAAGTTACATGTTTGAGGTATGTCACAAAAAAAGCAAAAAATTCTTCCACACTTGAAACACAGTACGGATGCAGCACTTCATGCATAATGTTTCCATGTTTCAAGTGTAAAGAAATAATCCTTCGTATTCTACTACACTTGAAGTCTGAAATTCTACGAATAACGTGTAGCATTATCATGCTTCATGTGCGGTCAAAATTCTCAAGTGTGGTCGATTTACACTTCATCCGTAGAATTTTACACTTGATCCGTCTTTTTGGACAGTATACATGGAGAAAAATAGAACTTCCATTGCTTGATTGTTAGCAATTTAACCAATGAATTTTCCGACTGAATTCTCTGCAATGACGAAGTGGACACTTTTATATCGAGAGTCGCACAATTAGTACGCATGTCGTCATGCTGGGTATGCGCATCGTGCAAACACGTTCGTCATGCTCACCAGTTGAAACGGACGCCACGCTTACGTATATGCATAGAGAGAGTGACGTCACATGCGCGTACAATGGCTCTGACAGTTGGATGTCTGTATTATACCAGGTTAAATAGACCCAGACACCAAAACAATCGAAAAAAGAAAAGATTTTGTTCGATTCTAATGTCCAATATTTCAGAAACGAACCAACTGTTAAGGCGGAAATTATAGAGCTATTTGTAATTTGAGTACGGCTAGATGGTGAAAAAGTTTCATCAAAATCTATGATGAAATCTTACTTTTTTTCTAAGAATAATTTACAGTAAAAATGTTTCATCAAAAATTCGTTGTGTTGACTCAGTATTCGTTTTATCGTGATTGGATCCTTTTTTGATCTTAAATTAAGCATTGCCACAATCATAATATTAACTGTTATAACAGTTAAAATTTTCTCCAGTTTTCTACTGAGTGAATACAATTTAACTATAACGTTCGGTTAGATAGACACAATTTGTCAGCATAGCTTTTTTATTTACCAAGATAATTCTCCTTCAATCTATTATTAGTTCATTTTTCTTACTAATGGAAAATCGATAATTTACTCTTTCACTGATGAAAAGTTTTTATTAACGTCAGACCGGTCTGATTTGTGAACATCTGCAATTTACATAGTATCTAGATGTTCAGATGTACCACCACATTTTCTACGTTTTATTTCTGCTAGCAACAGAGTGAAAGTAAAATTTCAAATAAAAATCCATTTTGTAGTCATTTAAAATAGCTGCTAATACTATTGAATGAAATGACGTTTTATTAGCCTTGATATTTTGACAATAAATCGATTTGTCGTCAACAATAGCTCCAACAATAAATAGTCAATCATCATATTGTGTAACTCGAAACCTTTTGTTCTACATGTATCTCTTTTTCAAAAATTTTTAAAGTAATTTTTACAAAAAATGTGTCTTAATATCTCTAATCAATCAAGAAGATGTTGAAACTTTAATCTTCTTTAGTGATCTATTTTTCTAACAAAAACTGTCGTGCTATCTCTCTCTACAATGCACATCAAGAAAAAAAGATAAAGCGAATAAACAGCAGACCATAATTTCTTAAATTCATGTCTGGTATATTTATCGGGTCTACCTTTTAGATTAAAATAAAAGCATCAGTTACACATTATTGTGAAAAATACAAGCTCATCTATTTTGTTTCTTCCTTGAGTGAGTTTAAATACTTTCGCAAGACAGCTTCTCGTTTGCCAGTTGTTTTCACAAAAATGTCAATGAAGTATAACATATTTTTTCTCTACGTTATTGTAGCCTTGGCTAGATAATATTAAGAAGAAAATATTTTCGCTTCTCTCATTCACCAATGGACTTTTTCTGTAAAAGTTCCAATGAATAATATTGAAATTCAGTTTTACAAAACACTAAAATAATCATGACAAGATCACTTGAAATATGTCAGTTCTACGTAACTTATCATCCTCTCTTCAGTGATAACGTACAGAAATTAAATAAACTCACCTAAAAAAGAAAAACAATTAGTTTTCCCAATACTGTATTATCAAGAATTTGACGTGAACGTTCAATCAGCTACCATATATAACAAATATTAGTCTGAAAATGACATAGTTTTTTTTGAAAAAAAGACAAAATTATAAAAAAATTGTCCATTTTCAAACCATGAATAATTGAAGTAACTAAAAATTTTCTACAAATGTTCATATGACCTTCTATTTTAAATATATATAATCTTTTAAAAAAAATATTTGCTATTTTTTTTTTTCACTTATAGATAGATGAATAGGATTTATTTTGTTTTCTTTTAGATGATTATATAGCGATGACATTTGTTCTAAAATGGCGTTTAATCTTAAAATTTTCAAATCAAAAAATTTGTTTACAACAAAAATTAATTCGAACTATATCAAATGCAAAGTATATTACTATATTATGTTATCTGATTTTTCGTTATTTTCATATTATTATCTTTTATTGTTTAGATTACATGAAGTTGGAATATTTAGTACATTGAAACCAACAGAAAATTATGAAACAGGACAGGTAATCAAAACTATGTTTAATTCTAATGCTGATTATCAATCAGAAATTGTTAGAATATTTTTTTTAATTTTTGAATAAGAAATAGATATTAAAAAACAGTAATAATTACACCGTTGCTATTTGTTCATGAAAAATTGCATTTAATTTTAGTCTCTGTTTTATACAATGTGTGTTTATATAGAAATAATCAAAAAAGTGATTGCAACATAATGTGTATGTGCATTTAATCGAAATTATTTAGTTATATATATAAAAGAAATGAAAAATGACAACAAAAAGTTTTTTCTTAATCAATTCGTTATTTGTTGAAGTTCAAGTTTAAGATGATTTTTTGTTTCACATTGACACATTTTGTTTTGTTTTTAAAATAATACATTAATGCACACACATAAACATATAAAACAAAAATTAAGACATTTCAACGAAAATATTCTATGAAAAGAGACAACTGAGAGAATGTTTTAGATATACTGTGTGTGACCAGAAGAAGAAGAAGAAAAAAACAGAAAATTAAAAAAAAAGAAATTTAAATGAGTATTTCATCATGTCAAAAAAAGAAGAAGAAGTATTAGTTCGATGTAATGTAAAAGAAATAGTGCTGCTTACTGAGATAAACAAAAAAATCATGTAAGACTAGTAAAAACTTATTTTTGTGAGATAAAAACGCTCTGGAGAACAAAAGTTTTAGTTATTTCATTAATCTGTCTAAACTTTGAGTTAAACAATCATTCTTAAAATTGCTTTTTTCAAAAACAATTTAGTGTCTTGCATACTGATATTGTTTTTGTTTTTTTTTCATATTTCTAGAGAATTTTATACAGTAGAGAACTCATTTAATATGTACAATCTGTTGTTTGTTCTAATTGCTTATGGAAGAAAAATTTTATATTTCTAATCTACATCAGAAGTTAATGATGAGATATGAATTAAAAATATTATTTGACTATATTTCAAGACACAACATCTTTCTATTCACAACCTCAAAACATCATGATGATGAAAATAGACAACATGAACTTTTATGTGTTTGATTATTTAATTGTACTAGATTCATTAATGTTTTTGATGCTAATTTTGAATTTTGTGTTAATTCTTTTTCAAGTAGACATTGTGCTGTAGCTGAAAAAGCTAATTCAACATTCATTCCCGTTTTTGCTGATGTTTCAATATATGTCACATCATATTCTGTTGCTAATTTTTGTCCAGCTTCTTTTGTAACAACTCGTTCTGGAATTTTATCAACTTTATTTGCAATTAAACATATAATAACATCGTCTTGAGCAAATTCTTTTATTTCACTAAGCCAAGCACGAACATTATTAAATGAGATTATCGATGTAACATCATATAATAATAATAGAGCATTTGCATCACGATAATATGAATGTGTTACACTACGAAATCGTTCTTGACCAGCCTAAATTACGAACAAATTTAGAGAGAGAGAAGAAAAAATTTAGATTATATTATTAGTCATAGATAAACTCACTGTGTCATAAATTTGTAATTTTACTTGTTTATCCTTAATTTGTATTGTTTTATTTCTAAAATCAATGCCCACAGTTGCAATAAAACTTCCACATAAAAATGTGTCATCTTTAAATCGTACAAGTAGACATGTTTTGCCTAAGTAGATAAGATAAGAGAATGATATATATTTTGAGAATAAATATCATGAATAAAGAGCACTTACCTACTCCGCTATCTCCAAGCAACATTACCTAAAAAAAAAGATTTAATTAAATTAAATACTTAATGTAATATATAGAAATATATTAGACACTAACTGTTATCGGAATAAATCATATAGTTTTCACTTCTCACTTAAGAATTATCTTAGCGTTAACATCTCTGTTTCCAGTGAACTTTGTAAAATTTTCTTTTTCTCATCATTGTATTTAGCTGCTAATGTTAGATCCATTAGATATATCATACACTAATTCCAACACAATTGTACTATTAATCAGGAAGAATGGCATGTGTGAGACTGTATGATTTCAATAAAATATATTATATATAAAAAGTAAAGTAAAGTGTGCTGTGGTGCCACCTCAAAATCATTTGCTGAATTATAATTTGTTTATTTTTTTTGTTTTTCAAAAAAATTCTATGTTTAATTCAGTTATAGTTTTTGATAGAAATGATAGTTAGTTTAATCGATGAATCATAGAGTTTTGAAAAAGAAAGATCTCGTCAGCTACCATTTGTGGCATATTAAGACTTTTGATCACATTAGAAAGTTATAAAAGTTTGCAAAAATGGTGTGCATGGGAAATATTAACTTACACATTAAACTTCAGTTTTCAATTTATGTATTGCACAATTTGGTTTGGTGATATTAAAGAGGAAGCCGCTTATGTATATTAATTGCTATTAACAATTTTTTTTATAAACTCAAAATACTTCTATTCTATTTCCCATTTTGCTCTAATTTTTTTTAAAAACTCCAATCGGAAATCGGGCTGCAAAATCAAATTCTCGCTCTGAAGTTGTAATTGGGGATGTTTTCTAGTAGGTACATGACAAATAATAGTATAACAGCAGCTGATTTGATCATCGTATATTTGTTTAACGTCTTTTCGATTTTATTAAAAAGTCATTTTCAAGGTTATTCAAAAAATACAAATTTATCATAAGATGAATGGAGTATTTATACAGTATAGAGCAAGAATTTACGGACTGCCGAAATTATACAAAGCAAATATATCTTTTCGACTTATTCTATTAATAATAAAAACAATTAGTTACGGTCTTGGAAAGGTTCTAATCCAATGAATCGAACATTTTCGCAGAAGTCCTTTTGTTGTGCGGGATCCATTTGACATCATTAAGAAAATTTCAACACTAGGTCGAAACTATATGCAGAAAAGGATGGTCTCATTCGATATTACTAGTTTATTCACAAATGTTTTCCTCACTCATACAGCTGATTTAATTCTGAATAAATTATATCCCGAATGTCCAAAAACTCGTTGACACAATGAAAATAGCGGACGTAAACATTGTAAAGACCGAGAAAATTTCAGTTTATTACTCCGTACAGCTACATCACAAACACGCCTGATTTTCGAGAGCAAATTGTATATGCAACATAATGAAGTAGCAATGGGATTTCCATTAACTCTAATCATCGCCCATATTTTTATGGCATACTTAGAAACTAAGTTAATTGATAAACTGGAAGAAATTGGTATATGTCTATGGTTGCCGTACGTTTATGACGCTTTCGTCCTCTTAGAACCAAGCGCAAAAGTAGAAGACATCATTCATATTTTGAACACTTTTCATCCAAGCATCAAATTTACCTATGAAACCGAGGAGAGCAACCGGCTACCCTTTTTGGATGAAAATGTAATTCGTAGTTCAAATGAGAACATATTTGATACGACTGGCTATCGTAGAAGGCTTTCACTGGACTTATGCTTAAATGAGTTCTTTTGTACCATTTCGATACAAAAAAGCTACAGTATTTAATATGATGATACAAATAGCCCTATCTATCTGCTCTAATTTCTTTACTCAACGATGAATTTGATCAAATCAGATGCATTACTAGACAAAATAATTATCCGATGTTATTTCTTGACATACGAATTGGAATAGGCCTTACAAAATGACTCCAAAAAGATAAGAATGGAACGGAAGATATGAATACACACAGGATCAGACCTGAAAAAAAACGAATTTATGTCAGAGATTCGATACAAGTTCTAAAAACAAACTAGCACAGTTTCGGGAAATCAGTCTGATATTGATTTACGGTTTCTTTTAAGACCACCACCTGCTACGCAGCCCTTTCTTCAAACGAAAGATAAAATCCCAAAACATCTTCCATCAGATATAGTTTATAGGGCTAAATGTAGCTAACTGCGAAGATAGTGATGAAAAACAGAACACCATGATCTACTTAGACTTAAGGAACACGATGCCCCTGGAGATGCTTTAGAGTCAACAAAATCAGCAGCTGCTATTAGCCACTCAGTTGCGGCAATTGGCTCAACAGTCTATTAATTTATCAGTCTAAGTTCTATCAAAATAAATGACCTGCATGGTGCAACAGACAATGATCTAGAAGTAAACATATCAATACGAGATATATGATAGATAGACTGGCAGAATTTTGAAGTCGTCGAAAAAATAAGAAAACAGCTCTATACTGTATAAATACTCCATTCATCTTATGATAAATTTGTAGTTTTTGAATACTTTGAAAATGACTTTTTAATAAAATCCAAACGTCGGTAAATAGATATACAATGATCAAATCAGCTGCTGTTATACTATTATTTTTGAATTTTAGAATTTTATCTATAAAAAAAGAAAAACGTACACCACTCTTTTAAACTAGAACGGTCTCGTATAACTTTCGGTATAATATGTAGAACTCAAATAGGTCAAATAAAAAATATTAGAATAATAGCTGAGCATTAGCTATAAATAACTGGATAGATCACTTATCATTTCCGTTTATAGTAGAAATGAGAAGATCGAATGTCAATCATTTGAGAATCAAAAAAAATGGCTTTTAAGAAATATTTCGTACATAATAGTGTTATTATATACTCGCTAGTATCAGATCAATAAGATCAATGAATTTCAAATAAAATTAAACATTTTAATTACTCTATAAAATTTAATTAAATTAAAAATCAAAAAATTATTTTGTAAAAAATTTTCATACTCATATTTCTTTCTATTTATACGCCACACGCATTCTTTATTAAAAAAAAAGTTCGTTGTTATTGTTGTAAAACTCTCGTGAATTTTCTAAATTGAGGTAAAAGCGAGTAGAAAAAGATTTCTATTTCGATGTTAATAATGTTATATTCATTCTTTTGTTTGATTGAATGATTTCTCATCTTGTAAATGTATGTAGAAACTATACTTTCTGACTTTAAACTAACCAATAATTCTCCCATGAGACACTAGATAGCATAGTGTTTTATTTCTTTTCTTTTCCTCTGTCTCTAGTTGAAATAGATATACAAAAACTTTTTTTTGTTCAAATGACGATGATCATTAACATTGAAATGGCATTGATTAATTTCTTTTTTTTTCTTTTTTGTCTCTATCATCTTTTGCATATTTTAATAACAGCTCTATAATTTTTTTACAAATATTTTCGAAAATTATAAAACTGCTCATATTAATTTTCTCAGTCTTCTTTCTATTCTTTATATGGCTTCAGGTTGTTTTTCTTCTTTTTTTTTTTTTTTTTTGTCGAGTATTATGTCAAAACTAATTCATTTCTTCTTAATTGCGATCTGAGTACATCATACAGTGAGTATAAAAACAATAGAACTGTAAAAAACAAAACAAAAAAACAAAACAAAAGAAGAAAAGAAAAGAAAAATGAAATAGAATGAGTGTGCGACAATTATGTGTAACAGCTATCAACTTTAGTTTGAGTAGATGACACAATAAGTCTATATTTGAAGTTATTGTGATTTAAGAAAAAAAATTTGTTTTTATTTTCATCTATCTTTTTCTCAATAATGATATGTTGTTCTAGAAGGTTAAAAATAAAAATAATATAAAAGCCATAATTTGAATAATACAAGACTCAACAATAGTTCCGGAATAATACAATATAAAATAGCGATTCTTTTAGAATCAAAACTACAAAAATACATGAGTTATAAATAGAGACAAATGGCTCTTACCTTAAACGTACTTTGCATTGAATAACTATTATTGTTTAATGTTGAATCTGTTTGTTTTAATTGATATGACATATTTTAATTTAATATTAAATTTTTATTTGATCTATTCATCTTCTATAAATTTTTCGTTGTTTTTTTTTTGTTTTGATTTTTGTTCCAATAGATCAAATAGAATTCAATGTGATTGCCATTGTTCACAAAAATTCAAAATAGAAAAATCTATAACAAGAATAAAAAACAAATGACGTAACAACAAAATAAAAGTAGTAAGAGAGTCAAGTAAATCTTTATCATCTCTGCCACACATAGACAGATACAAATAATAAAACATATGAAATATTTCACACTGTCTTGCCGATAAACAATTTATTCTTTATTCGTGTTTTTTTTTTGTTGTTTTTTTTGTTGTTTCTATACATACCAAGTTATTTTTTGACATTGGATGTTAAAAAATAAAAAACAAAAAAATCCTCAGTAATCTTATAAACTAGGAAAAAAAGGACATTTTCTAATCGTGAGTACAGTTTCTTTTCTTTTTAATACCTTTTTTTTTCTTCTTCTCATCATACTTCTTCACCTGAATAAATTTTTAAGAAGAAGAAGAAGAAGAAGAAAACAGAAACCGGTTAATTGATGATGTTGATAGTTTTAAAAAATATTATTGCAATCCACACCTTGTTATGTTGTAGTTGTTGATTCTTTTCACTCTTCGTTGAATCGATAAATACAAAGTCTTTTTTATCTTCTGTATTACTAATCGCATGTTTGTTGTTGTCCCAAGAAAATATCAGAAAAAAAAAGAGAAAAGAAAAAAAACACACACACACACACACACATCATATTTTTGTACAATGGTATTGTTTTTTTCAGCTTTTTTTCTATCGTTCTTATCTTTTTCCATACATACTCGTTCCCTGTCATATGCGTATAAAAATAAACAGTCGTCTTATTACTTAAAAACAAAATAAAAGAAATTATTATTTTTTTATTGTCAAATGCTCTGTCAAATAGAATGTCATGTTGTTCTTCTAAAGATTATATCATTAATCTCAATAAAATCTTTATATCGATAAAAAAACAAAAAAAAAAAGATCACGTTCACAATTTATAAGTAGAATTAAAGACATTGTTCATTCAGATAGAAATTCAAGAAAAATAAATACATTTTTATGCATTGCATGGCATTATTTAGTAGAAGAATTCTCTACTCTTATTCTACTATAATAAAAACAAAAAGAAGATTAGTAAAAGTGTTACAATGATATGATCCGTTAGAAAATAAAATCAGTTGAAATGTTTTTCTTTTCTAAGTATAAGCTTTGATTTTGAACAAAAATAAAATCAAGAATATAGAAATTCCCATTAGATTATTCTGAAACTTAAACTATCAATTCTTGCATGAAGGTAGAATCGAACACATGAACTTGATCATTATAGACAAACTACAATAGTCAATTTCATTGCTCTTTCCTATATTCTACACAATGATCTATTTTTTCTTATTTAAAATTAGAGTCAGTGTGAAATCTGTCATCTAAGAACCAAAACATAGACATTTTTACTACTACAAAAATTTATTTCCCATCTTCTGTTTTTTTTCAGTTTTGCTTAACAGATGCGTAGAGAAAAGATAGAAAAAACTAAAATGTTAGACCAATTTATAATATAAAAACTTTTGTCATTTGGGTCATTTCCATGATTAATTGTTCAAGTATGCTATTCTAATCAATAATATATATATATATATATATATATATATGTGTGTGTGTGTGTGTGCATTTTTGTTACAACGATGTTTATATTTATTGTCATTAGAAACGAAATTAGTAAATCAGTCGTTCTTGTATTTTTTTATTTTATTTTACTAGTAGTCATTATTCACTCTTACTCGCTTTAATGAACATTATTTATTAACGAAAACAATATCAAGCGTAAAACATACACTTTGAGAAAGAGAGAAACTGATATACTCTCACTGCCCTCAATCATTATAGGCAATCTGTCAAGATCATTTTGTAGACGTGATTATACGCAAAGAGATTTTTTTTTTATGTACAAAATAATAAATAAAAAAGTTTTTACACACAAAATACAATGAAAAACAAAAAAAAAAAAAGATTTTTTCTATTCAGAAAATTATTTTTCCAGATCTCTGAAAAACAAAAAAAAAAAAAAATTTATTATTGTTCTACTACTAACCAGGGACTGTCATGAACGACAAATTTTTTTAGGAGTAAGCACCCCTGACTATGGTATGAGAAAGTCAAAAATTCATTAAAAAATGATTAATTTTTTGAACTAGATTCTAAAAATATTTTTAGTATATCATCGATATTATGCGTGCGTGTGTATGTGACAAAAAATGAATTGATTTAATCATAAGTGACTAGTAAAAACGAGATTTTTCTTCCATTATATTTCGGTTAAATTTTTATAGAAAGCATACGTGTCTCAAATATTGTCCACTATCACCACTGTTAATCCGCTCGATGTAGTTTTGTTCTTCAAATTAAAATAAGCTACTTTTTTTTATCCGCTCTATTGAATAACGTTTAATAGAAAAAAGATATGTTTTTTATCTATTGATAAAGAGTCGAACATCTTATTATCGAAAAAGTTTAAAAATCTTTTATAGCAACAGGATCATTGAAAACGTCAGTTGAATTTTCAGAAATTCAAAGAGCGATTTTCTTTTTCTTCTTCTATTTGAGTAAATAAGTCGAAAGTGCTCTCTTTAAACCGGAATCAATTCATATTTTTAGTTTTTACTAATTTAGAGATGAAATCAGATTTCCTTTCTCCACGAGTGGTATCCGGTGACTTTTGTCATTTGAGAAACGAATGAAACAAAAATAATCACCTACGTTGAAACTCGTGACAGTGTTCATTTTTTATAAAGACATGAATAGCTAGAAAAAGTTTAGCCTAGTTTTCTAAAGATTTTCTCAAAACCCTATCGTTTTAATAGTTTTAAAAACTTTTTCTATGATAAGATGTTACCTGATCTTTTCTATCGATTGGCAAAACCCGATCGCATCTTTCTTTTCTATTGAACGTTATTCAAAAAACTGATAGAGTATATTTTTATTTGAAAATGAGTAGTAATTTTTCTTGAAAATATAAAGAAAATGAAAAGAATTTACAAATCTAATCTCTAAGTATTGAGTATTAACTGTAATTTTATAGAAAATGAAGCAAAATTCTAAAAGAAGTATGAACTATTACAAGATTTGTAAAAGAACAATGTACCTGTTGGTTTAGTTGTTTTATTAACAATATATTCACGTTAAGATCGAATTATGAAAAAATTTATTGTCATTTGTTCTCATCGGTGACATTTTGTTCGATGACTATCTTTCCTTTTCTTTTATCAATGGAAAAAAAAAGTGTAAAAGAAGAGATCGCGCTATTTTTTATACAAGAAGACAGAAGAGTTTATAATATTTGTTTTAAGCCATTTTTGTATTTCTCTTTACAATCAAAAAATAGTGAGAGAAGAAAACACAAAATCTTAGCCAAAAATAGATGATTTTTCTTTTATATGTAAGCATGTTATTATTAATTAGAAAAGGATAAAATCGATCCGCTTTTGTACCAATTAAAATCTGTTCTTGATTGTTTAAAAATTTTGTTTGAATAGAACAAAAAAAAAGCGGAAGAAAAGGCGTTGGCCTTCATCTTATAGGATAAAGAAGTAAAAAAACCACATAAAAACGTATTTTAAGAACAATAAGATAATTCAGGCTGTAGGCAAAATTCGAAACGGAACAACGTTTATCTAGCTTATACGATATTACGATTTTATGAACATGTCGATTACTGAAAAGACGTAAGTTTATAAAGTGGAATAAAAGAAAGAGTTACTTTGACAAGGAACTACCGAAAAAAATGATATATGTGTCATAGAGAATTTGGATTATTTTAATAGAGAAGCGAAGAAACGTTTATGTATGGTACAACTAACGATAGAGCCGTGTCACTTTACCCCAGTACTATTAATTACTATGAATGAAAGAAAAGAAAACATCGTTGGATAGATATGGTAATGATCGAAAATCGCTAATGTAATACAATTAGTTACTAACAATAACTCTATGCTAAAGTGCCTCTTATTTTCAAGAATCTTTGTGAAGTAATGAAAAAAAAAATCTTGTTATAGTGAGTGTTATTAGTGATCGGATCACCACAAATAAAATGTCCTTTGATAAAATTATTTTAGTTGCGCATAATATATTTTCAGTAGTTTTTAAATACAAATCAGCTTTTTAAAGTAAAGAGTGTGCATGATCGAATTACGTTCATAAGTTTTGCTCTTTTTGACTGAAGAGAATTATAAAACTGTCTGTGTCAAATATGTCTGATCGGATCTAACAGAATAGCATCAAATTTCGTCGAAATCTGATTTAACGTATCGGATCAGATCCATTACAAGCCGACTAATTTCTGGTCAAATCTGACCAGATTACCAGATTTTCATCAGACTTCCTTGAATTCCGATACGGATCCAACAGGTTCTGACAAGATGCCACGCCTGCGTTGTTCAATCTGAGTGATATTTTGGTTGAAAGTTAGGCTAGATATGACGTAAATGAATAGTACAACTAGAATAATTTTGTCTAATTTTATTTATGGTGATATGATCATTTATGATGCTCAGTGTACTTATCATCGATAGATGTCTGTCTCATTCATTTCAATACCTTATATATATTGTTTGAACATTAAACATCATTATACTTTCTCGCACATGTACAAACCTATTTTGTCAAATTCTAACTGAAAAATAAAACTTTTAGAATCTTCGTTTGTTGTTGGATTTGTGAGTTGAAGAGAACGGTTATCACATATAGACGACAAAATGAAAAAAACAAAATATTTCCGCTCTATACAATTGAGAATAACAAGAATAGAGAAATAAACTATCTTATCTATTATTTATTCTTAGAAGAGAATTTTGACAAATCGAATCATTTATGGTTTTCCCTTTTTTTTTCTCCTCCTCTTCTTCTCTCTTTTTTTTATACAATGAACTGAAAATAGCAATTATCGATTTTGTCAATTTTTTTCTCTCTCTTCTTCTCTCTTCATCATTATGTAGTTTTTTTCTTTTTGCATAATTTAATTTTCTTTAGTATACCATTTTAATGTACTCGTATTTTCAAGTGAAAATAATGATTGAATTAACTTCATGTCTCACATTGAATACAACGAACTTATGAACAAATAAAGTTTTCACTTAATTTAAAGAATTTAGGCTAAATAGAGCGAGAATAATGGTTATACAGTTAGTTTGTTTGCTCTGAAGTATGACAAAATATGTCAGCGAGATTTAATAGTGAAATTTTTTTCTCAACATTGTGCATGTCATTAGGCTTAGTTTAAGTTAGTTGAAATATATTTGTTTATTTTTTTATCTTTAAAGTAGTAATTGACTTAAAAAAAATAATTTTTTCCTTAAGACAGAATGTTATCTAGTTTGCATCCTGATATGTAATCTTAAGTTATTGCTCTGTTAAACTGTTTCATATTAAGAGAGCAGAGAGATTTCTACTATTTTACTTTAAAATTGACCCATGGGACTCATTGTCTTGAATGTCATATGTTCATCTTGAAAGTGTTGAATTTATTATCGTAGAATCTATATCAATGTTATTAATGCAAGACAGAACAATAAGCATATTCTCAATTACAGTTTAGTGAAATGAAACGAATGACTTTCTTTTATTGAGACTACTATGTAACAGTACTTATCTACTGTTTTTCTTCTGACATAAATTATCGTTCGAGCATGGTTTTCTAAGAGAATTTAAACGCGTTCACTATGTTCTTTTCGTCCATGTGTTTTTTTCTTCCATCTCCAGGGTGAATTAATCATTCATTTTCTCGTTAACGATAATCATCTTTGGATGTGTCCACCACTACTCAACAATATTTAGAATTTTTCAAATACGTGTTCGTGAAAAAGCGTATCTGAACAAGTTTCTTAATAATTTGGACGTGCTAATAAAACTAATTAGGATCTGATCGTCCATGTTCTTTGATTTTTCTAGCAATTTTTCATAGCTCGCATGTGAATATTGAAGTAAAAACTGATACTGTCCAATGATTGATCGATTTAAACACGTTGGATGCGATGGATCATCATTCCAAACGTTTCGAAAATGAAAGTTTAGAGTCTATAAATAAAAAATGTCCTATCGATTCCTTATTGTCAAATATATTGGTAGAGAAACTATTTCCTAATAGTATTAGCTATAGCTGTGCTTCCTTGAAACTTTTTTTGTTTTTTTTTTAATAACAAAGTGCCAGTTTGTTACACACACACGCCTAGGAAAAAATTCAAGAAAACAAAGATTATAAATAAAAGTCCAAGAAACGATAATATGTCGAAACAAAATGAAGCTGATTGAAAATATTCAGAATCATAACTACCATCGTCAGCATGAAAACTTGTTATCGATAATTTCAATACCAACAAAAGAAAATTTTCCGATTACAGTATTGAGAATATTGTATGTAGAAGATCATTTAGTATATTGCCAATCATTAATATCATTTGTGCGCGCAAAACACTCTTTAAATTAAAAACCATTTTGTACTTTTTTTTTCATCTTAACAATGATCAAAACAGACACTCAGTTTTCTTTTTTGTATATTGTTTCTATCAATTTGCTCATTATTATTAATGGCAGTTAATGGAATACCATTAACGTAGGTTCATGATTGAGATTAAGAATCCACTAGGCGTTTCTTTACGTACTAAGCCGCGCTTTCAGTTTTATCGTTAGTCATTGATTACTAGGGTAATTTAGTTTCTATATTTCGTGTGTTACTAACGAGGGAACATCTCGAGGCGAAGCGCTCCTTTTTCATTCGTTCTTGCGTGGTTCGATAGGGCATTGGGTAGAGGTAAAAAGCCTAAGAGGGTTCGGGCGGAGACTTTTCTCCTGAGGAGTTACGGGCATTTTACGCGTTTTCCCAGCGGAAATCAGGCAGAATGAAAGAAATTGCTGTTTCGTCCAGAAAAGTTGTAGAGGGCTGAAATATTTTTTCGTCGTGGGGCTAGGGGTCAGAGTTGGAACCGATCCGGTAATCCGGCTCCGGACCGGACAAGACCGGACGAAAAGTTAAACCGGCCGGACGAAACCGGATTTTTGCCAGTTCTTGATATTGAAATTGATACTTGTATTTCGAAGTTCTATCCGACGAAAACAACTTTTATTCGCTGTTTTTGCGTTGGAATATTATGTCAGCGATTATTAGAAATTCTATATGGATCAGAGAACATACGACGAAAATATTCGTACAAATTCATGTACATACACAGCTTGAATCAAAGCCTTTGATTATATTTAGTAGTAACCGCTTTTGATCGTAATTGGATTGTAATAACAATAAGACAAAGATTAATCAGATAGAAGGAAAAGAAAAGGAAATACACATTCAATTTTCCTTTTCTTTTAATTATCAAGAAGCACTATTTTTGTGACTTTATTTCGTAATTGACGTTTACGTTACAAGGTTATATTATTAATGTCAATGATTAATCCGGACAATCTTCAAGCTGGTCAAATTCAGCGAAAAATCAATCCATATACTTATCTTTTCTTTTTGTTTGTCTATGGTTCAGATTTACATGTACAAATATATATTTTTCTATTATATTCTGTGAATTTCACAGAATCGTTTCTCGTTGATACCTTAACAAACAAGCTATTGTATGAATTTATGATCTTGCCGGATTGTTGCCAGTTTGATATAAAAATGAACCGACCGGATTTTTGCCAGTTTGACGTTAAAAATGAACCGGCCGGATTTCGACCGGACCGGACAAATTTTGAACCTGGCCGGATCGAATCGGATGGGAAAAATCCGTCCGGTTCTAACTCTGCTAGGGGTTCTCGTTATACCCCAAAAGTTTCAGACCCCTATCACTTCCTCTCAAAGAGTTGTTGCACTTTTCGCACAGAGAGGAAAACGCAGTGTGGCACTGTGGTGGTGCGTTCTATCTCTTTTAGCGGAAGGCCATGCTGACTTGTTTTGATCATTTTATGCGTCTCGAGAAGTGGTGTGCTCGGTGTGGCGAGAGAAACACTTTTGGTACATTCCTTATCTCTGACAGAAAGAAAGACAGAGACAAGTAGGGGGGTCTTCCTTACTCTTTTTCTTCGGTCATCATTACGAACTTTAAGTAAAACTAAAGAGCACCTCCAGAATGATCAACCCTCATAACGTTGACCGTATCCTATCAACCTACATAAGTAAACTTTTCCCAGCTAACCATTTGTTTGTATATAATAAACGTGTTGAAGTCACAAAAATGAAAAAAAGAGCTCGGAGTTTAGCTTGCATCACCACAGTGCCACACTGCGTTTTCCTCTCTGTACGAAAAGTGCAACAACTCTTTGAGAGGAAGTGATAGGGGTCTGAAGCTTTTGGGGTATAACGAGAATCCCTAGCCCCACGACGAAAAAATATTTCAGCCCTCTACAACTTTCCTGGACGAAACGGCAGTTTCTTTCATTCTGCCTGATTTCCGCTGGAAAAACGCGTAAAATGCCCGTAACTCCCCAGGAGAAAAGTCTCCGTCCGAACCCTCTTAGGCTTTTTACCTCCACCCGATGCCCTATCGAACCACACAAGAACGAATGAAAAAGGAGCGCTTCACCTCGGGATGTTCCCTCGTAAGCCGTGTTATTTTGCGTTTAAGTTAGTCAACATTACTTCTAATTTCAATACAAGTCGAAGTAGAATCTAGAAAATAGAGAAACTTATCTAGCTCAAACTTCGATCAGCCCTTTCCCATCCTTAATGGAATTCAGCCACTAGGTTTTCCTTAATATATTGTGATCCGCAGTGTTTCACTTAATTTGTTTTTTCAGTACGATCAGTAACCGATAGAGATTCAAAGGGTCATATGAGTACTAAAGTTGTTCATCTCAATTAATATACCAGTCCTTCTGATATTAATATAATCTAAATGGCTACCAAACGACTGTCATCATACTACACTATCATTCCAATATATAAGGAACTGTATACTACAACTATTATCTTGCAGCTGACGATCTTAATATTAGCGCAATCTATCTATGAACGACCACTAGATTTACCCTATGCGACATAAATCAACCAACGAGCGAAGTCCTTCGCATCTGCCGCAGCTGCTCTGTCGATTTTAGTCACAGACCAGTAGCTGATGATGAACGGTCTCAGACTCCTTTATCAGTTGTTCTTCCAGCTTTTTTTATGAAGTATTCTTCTTTGTGCCCGATTGTTTAATGTATACATAAGAGCGTTTTCTCTAATAAACGCCCACCATACTAACATTAGTCTGCGTACTACACAGGAAATGATAATCATGAACTGATAGAAAAAAAAGTATATCCACAGACATGAAAAAAATTGAATATGAAACTTATTAATTTCTTTCATAAATCTTACCATGTTTTGAAAAATTTTTCAGTCAAGAGGCTGAATGAACGTTCTACAATGAACTGCCACTTGTTTTATTTGAATTTTGTTCAGAACGGAGCGAAAACAAAAGTCTTTCTTTTATAGTAGTAAATTTGTATTTTACATTTTACTAAGATTTGCACACATCCAAGGGATAAAGTATCTTTAGTCAGATAGTCATAGCTAATCTTACTTTCACCATTCCATATCCTGAATAATGTATAGAATTGAGAGAGCTGAACATTATTTATATTTTTAGTTATTTCTTCACCGAATATTTGGCTACCGTGGTAAGTATATTTGACACATGACTATTATTCTCAAATCTTTCTAATCTTTTTATTCTTTAAGGCGTGATATTATTTCCATGGTTAGCACGTGTTTATGATCGTTCTGAAACATTAAAACTTGACTTACCTACTCGTATATCATCGCACGAAATCAAAGCAAATACTCTAACTTATTATCAGGTATTAATTGATACACGGGATATACCATACATTCATGCACATACAGAAGCTGTTACATTTCTTGGTAATCAAGATTCGAATCGATCGCTGTACACTATACCTGGTTTAGGTACTTTAAATCGTTATAAATAATCAAGATGCTATATAATATGAAAAATTGTGTTTTATTTAGACTATGTTGCTCATAAAGATGTTTTACCTTACACGAGTACAGAGCGAACTCCCATTAGCCATGAATTATTTGATAAATTTTTAATGCATGATCCCAATTCTAGTTCACAATTTGTACCACGTGAACATTTAAAATCTTGGCAAGATCGACATCATTTATGGTTAGAGTCATCCGATGTATGTACAGATGTTACACAAGGAATAAGAGTAACAGTAATACCATTTTACATGTAGGTATTATTAGTATTATCTTTTTTTCAAAATTTGAAATAAATAATTTGTTAATTTTTTTTTAGAGGCTGTCGGTCAAATCAAGCGACTAGTGTTTATTGGTGGCGATATTCGATTCGAATTGAGAATTTAACACCAGAAGAGCCGATTATATTACGTGAAAGACATTGGAGAATATTTAGTTTAAATGGCACATTGGAAACGGTTCGAGGCAAAGGTGTTATTGGTCATGAACCATGTTTATCTCATGAACATCCAGTCTTTCAATATAGTAGTCATGTGTCATTACAAGCTTCATCAGGTCATATGTGGGGAACATTTAAAATGGAACGAAATGATGGAACTCATTTTGAAGTAAGAATACCACCATTTAATCTTGAATGTAAAGAAAATGAAAAATCACCTGTATTGTCTTGAACATTATTTTCTCTCTTGTTTCTTTTTTCGAAAATATTTTATAGTCTTTTATAAACTTTATTTATATTTTTTTGTTTGCATGTTTATGTGAACGTTATTGTTAACATTTTTTTCCATATACGTTTTCTGCTAGATGAAATGTTTACATATATAATTGTTATTTTGTTTACATAATAGACAAGATACACCTGCTGATATTATCATATTCGTTTTTTCAAAGAGCAAGAACTATAATATTTTGAAATTTTTTTACAAGTCGTCAAGCGTAATTTAACAAGTAGAGCGTGGTGCAGTCAGTATTTGATTTATTTAAAAAGGTATCTCATCCATAGTAGTTATTTTATCACCGTTCTAATGTATAATCGTGATATAAAACTGAAATGATATGAAACTGTATTCATCTAAAAATTTGTCGAAATCAACAGATTCTATTTTTGTTGATTGTCCCAACATCGAAGAGATCGAATACAATGTTGTTCACTCCTATTGATTTCAGATAGCATTTAAGTTTACGAAAATAAGCATGATATTTTAGCTGATGGCAACTAGATCATTGTTTTTACCATTCTATACAAGAACATGTTGTATTCAAATCACAAGACAATTTCAAACCACTCCTCCTCGTCATATTCCTCCACTTATATGGGTATTTTTACGTCCAGCAATCAAAGGAGTAAGAGTATTTAAGAAAAACAAGTATTTTTTTGTAAACCAATCTAATTCTTGTTCTAAATTTAATTTAGGTTGCATGGATATCAGGACGGTAGGTATAGGAAACTGAGCTATAACCTGCTGATATTGTTTATCTTTTTTTATTTATTTATCGAATTTAGATCTGTAAGAAAATGGTGGAAAGCATTACCAACTGAAAAACGCTCAGTATTTTTTGATCATATCCTACGACAGCGTCTAAAGTATTTTGGAATATTTGGTGGTATAGGAACATTAGCGACAGTTCACTATGTAACACATTTACAGACATCACCCATCACTGGCAGACGACGATATTTGATGATGAATAGTGAACAATTATATGCATTAGGAGACTTAGAAAAACAAAAGGTAACTAACTTACTACAGTGTACAACTTAGTGAATATATGTGATATATCAGTGTCTTTCCCATATTACAGATAATGGCTATGTTTGGAAATAAAATGTTAGCACATGACAGCAAGCAAACTCAACTTGTGGCTAAAGTTGCTTACAGACTTATTGCGGCGAATTTAGATATTGAAGCTGTAAAAAACATTAAATGGTGTGTTCGTGTCGTGGTAACTACAGTATCATATAGTAAATAATAATTGAAATAATATGTTAATCAAAACATTTTAGGATACAGATACAGAGAAAAATGCTTTTGTTTTGCCGTCTGGTGATATTTATGCAACAAAAGGCCTACTTGGAACAATGACCAATGAAGATCAGTTAGCTGTAGTACTAGTCAGTTTATGAAGAAGAAAATCTGATTTGGAAAATATTTCTTTTATCAACTCTCTTTCAGGCTCATGAATTGTCACATGCAGTTTTATCACATGCAGTAAGCTTCAAATTTTCAATGGCAATGACTTAAAAGATTTTTAGTTTGAACGATATCAATTCAAAGTGGTTCATTATGGAGTAGAATCTGAAATGTTTTTTTTGTAGGCTGAACAAATATCTTATCATCAAGTCATCGATCTTTTGGGTTTGTATAATGGCATTATCTCGTGTTCTCTTTAATATTCGATTTATTATCTATTTTAGCTATATTTGGTGCTTTTATTATTTGGGCTATCATGCCGACAGACTGGACGTCGTTTTGGGTAAACTGGATTTTTGAAGGTTTTATGACTATTACGTCTCGATTGCCGTATTCAAGAAAACTAGAGGAAGAAGCAGATGAAGTTGGTTTATTGATGGCTGCTAAAGTAATTTGATAGTTCATCAATTGAAACAACCCATAGAGTCGAATTTTGATCTATAGGCTTGTTATGATGTACGTGAAGCAGTCAATTTCTGGGAAACAATGAGTAAAAGTGAATTACAACTACCGGAATTTGTCTCCACTCATCCAGCAAGTGATAAACGAGCAGAAACACTATTAGAAAGATTACCATGGGTAAAAAAATAGATAGAAAAACTTAGTTTCGATTAACTCCCATGATTTTGTTTTACAGGCACTTAATATACGAAATCAATGCAATTGTGCAAAACTGCCAGATAGACCATTAGGGAAATTGTATCTTGAAAACGCAAAAGTATATTCAACTTTCTTAAGCATTTCTATACATTCTATCTGTCTGTATCTTATAGGTAAATCAAACGTTAAATACGGGCGGATTCGGACATGTAACAGTAGTGAAAACTAATGAATGATGAGCAAAAGTATTAAAAGCGAAGAACAGCAAGATATAAAAGCATTTGTGAAACAGTGCAGATAGTTTACAAAGATCGGTTTTTAAAAAAATTCATTGCTTTGTAATATTAATTTCGTCCAATCCTCGTCCTCACCGATTGCTTTCATAATTTAGTGTTGGTTTCTTTTTACGATTCAACGTCTTTTATTGCCATCCTTCCTGTCTTATCTTCTCATAAACTAAAGTAGTTTAATTTAATGTGTGTATATATCAGTGACGGATGGACATAGCTTAATTAATGAATGATTTTGCTTCAATAAATATTTTTTAGCGTCACAACACCTCTGACGACTTCTCAAAATTTTAGGGTAAGGCTCAAATGCTCAGCCATCAGAGATATACTTGCGCTGCCACTCTCCTAGCGGTAATTAGCATTCGGGTATTTTAATATTTTGTTCAAGTAATGATCGAGGATAATATGGGAAAAAAAGCACTAATGAGACAAAAAAGTTTAGTTTTTACACAAAATCGATGGGATGAGTTTAATATATCCATTGACTCAGTAACAAAAAATGTTGAATATTTGTCGTCGACGACTTTCATCAGGACTTCTGGAGACGATATTTTTAAAATCTTGCAGTTTCCGATGAACTTTCGTGGAGAACGGAAATCGCACGCGAATTGCTCACGAGATTGACTATTGACTACTAGATATGACTATCGTTCTACTTCATCCTGTATGATAGTTCTTTTTCTTTTTATTCTTGATCCTGTAAACAAATCTGCTGCTTGTTAATTCTCGCAAATGTGACTATGCTATCTGTTTTCTTGTTATCTATCTATCTTTTCATCGAAAAGATTTGATCTACAATCACATCAGTCCTCATTCTGTTTTTTACACTGTCCTCGCTATTTTTCTTTACATTAGTCTCATTCCAAGTATGCTCACTTTCCTTCTCCTGTTAACGGTCTTCTCAAACAGTCCATTGTTCATTTTTTTAGTATCTACATCACCGACTTGAACAATTTTTAGAATTACTCGTTTATTACTCTTAGTCTATTGTCTTTTACATATCTTTTTGTTTTGTTCTTAAAATTCATCTGTTAGGTGTAACTGAGCTGGTTTATTTCGGATCATTGCAGAGACCTATAGTCTTATAGTGCGTTATTTTTTGTTTCTATTTGCACTTACTCTGTTAAAATTTATATAAAATCGCGTGTTTTGGTTTTTATTGTTGTCCTTGAAAAATATTTTTAATTAAAAAAGCTTTTACTGATAATCCAACGAATATTATCAGTTCTTTTCTTTGTTAGTTTAGCAGACGACTTACGCTAAAACTGCTAATTGAAGTTGAGGCTTTTAATGATGGCTTGTTAACATGCCATCCCAGATCGACCAAAACGGATATCCATTACGGACCGTCTGCTGGACGCAGGAATACGGACCGTAACATCATTAAAATAGGACCGTATACGGCCGTATTTTCACAGTATATGACCCCGTATTACTGTGCCCAGAAACGGTACCGTTTACGGGCCGTATATTGTGAAAATACGGCCGTATACGGTCCTATTTTAATGATGTTACGGTCCGTATTCCTGCGTCCAGTAGACCGTCCGTATATGGACCGTATCGTTCGACCTGGGATTTCATCCAAGTTAGAAACTTCGAGTTCAAAGTACGTCGAGTAGTCATTGAGCCTAAAACCAACATGTTATTGTACGCATCTACTTCGCAAAGATATCTTACATTTCCTTTTTTTGTTTTTCTTACTTGGCCATTGTCTAATACAAGGATACAGTGATTGTGCTGCTATTGATGTAGAGATGACTTATGCGTATGGTTCTTAGATTCTTACCAATTAACAAGTCAGCCAAACATAAAACATGTTTACTAGACTCTTTTCTTATTTCTTCTGTAAAAGTTTTCGATCATGAGTGATTTGTCTCTGATTTTTTGGAATCAAGTTCACAAACTTTTGCGTCGAACGACTTGCCGTTAATGTTATTCTGAAACGTTTGTTTTTCATGTTTAATTTTAGATAGTTGCTGTTGTTGACGTTATTCGTCTATCAAATGACTTCATCAGCTGAGATCTTAAGAAATGGTAAGTGATCTGCACAGAGATTACAGACAATAAACATTCCTTAATCATTAGCTATATCTATTTGTAAAAAGCGGTGTGTCGAGTTGATTACTAGAGTTGAAACAAATGTCTTTCCTATCAGACCAATTAGCTTTCAACATTTTTACTATATTAATATTGAGCAACAGTGATCTCTTTTCTTAAATTATATACATTTAATCCAAATGTTCCCACAATCCTTTTGCACTCTTTTCTCAGATGAGTTGGTGTTTGAGTAATCGAATTTCAATGGTAATATGATAAACTAGACAAGTGTAGGAATGAATGATTAAATTTTCTTTCGTATTAAATTCAAAGAAATTTTTATGATAATTGTTTCTTTTAGAGAAAAGTCCGGTTATTCGAGATAGATTACGTGTGTTAATAGTTGATCGACAGATACCTTACATTTCTGGTGAACCACCTGAATTCAAGATTTTTAGTCGATTAGGTAGTGGTCAATTTGGTTCGGTTAGTTTATGTGAATATAAAACAAAATTATACGCATTAAAAAATCCTAATCAGTCTCAGAATACAGCACAACGTGCAAACATTCTCGACGAGGGTAAGATAATGAAGTTATGTTCGTATCTACTGAACAATTGTTTTTTTATTTGTTTAAGGCATTAAACTAACGGATTTTAAAGAACAACATCCGAATATTCAACATTTAAATTATGTCTATATAAATAAATGTGGTCTTCTATTAGATTATTGTAATAACGGTAGTCTCGATATATTCGTCAAAGAGAAAGAAAATAGTTATGATTTATTTAATATTCTCAATTGGTCATATCAATTAGCTGATGCACTTAGCTTTTTACACAGCAAATCAATAAGTAAGCCGATTTAATGATAGGCAGTTTGACTAATATGACATATCAATTTATAAAGACTCATTTTAAATTTTAAAAGTTGGAAGACAATTATATTAGGATTCTTAGTTTTATTTCTTTGAGGGAATGTACCATTTGTGTATCTACAGGAATAATTGTATCTCTCAAATTATTTTGTTACCAATTGCTGGTCGTTATGTCAGATTATAACCTGGGCATATCTCTATAAAATGAGAATATATTTGGGAAGTTTGTGACAGCCTTAAATTTAACATTAAAGACTATTTTTAAAAAAAAATGTACAATTGGATTTGGTCGAAGTTGACCAATATTACTCCTGTTTTCGCTTTTTCAACTGAGAATACAAATCCCGTTTTATCCCACTGTGTAGAGAAAAATTTTGCTAAATAATCGAATTCTACGCATCCAAAAATCATTTAGAATAAGTAATTGTGGAGGTAGATTTTTATCTTCAATAATTTCAAAAATAAATTATTATATAAATATTAAAAATAAATTATAATCAAAAATAAGTACTCCTTCGTTGAAGCACGAATTACTGTTTAGAATGTTAAAAAGGCAGTGTAATTCCAGTATTTTATTCTTACATAGACTCTTGATTGCTTTCGTTTAACATATATATTGTATCTTTATTTTTTCAGTTCATCGAGATGTTAAAATGCAGAATATTCTGTTGAAAAATAATTGTCAAACACTTGTATTAACAGATTATGGTACAGCAACACAGTTGGGAAAATCTTGGATGACAGATAATGTTGGAACACCGAGTAAATTTTAACTCTTATAATATTCTCTTTCATTTATATACCAATTTTTAAATATTTTCTTTCTACAATTTTTAGTCACGATGGCTCCTGAAGTGTTTGAGAAAAATCAGTATGGTGAAAAATGTGATACATACTCATGGGCAATTGTACTATGGCAATTAATATCGAGACAAACTATGCCATATGGTAATCAAGGAAGAGGTATGTTCTATTTACGAAATTAATCTTTCTAAATTAAGATTTGCATTTGTTTGTTTAAGGTTTTTTATTTTCTGTTGTTAAAGAAAAATTACGTCCACCAAAAGTACAACCTTGTCCAAAACTTTTTAGCGTTTTAATTTATCGTTGTTGGCATTCAAATCCGGATGAACGTCCCTCGTTACTTCTAATTAAAAATATTTTAAAATTAATTATTGACAAATTACCTGTCGAACCTGGATTGAATCCGAATAATATTCAACAATTAAAAAAAGAATGGTTAGAAAAATATGATCTACCTGAAAAATATTTGCCAGTAGACCCTAAGTTATCAAATAAACAATCCATTAACATTTATAATGAACATGTTAATTTGATGAAAGCGATAATAAAAATACAACACGATATTGAACTATTAAAGCAAAAAAATGAACAAAAAGAGGAATACTACAAATTAAAAGATCAAAACAATGATTTAATTAAACAAATTGAGACATTCAGAACTTAATTTATAGTACAACCAACAAGTATTTTTAATGCTACAAGTGCAAATGTTTTCAATGATAAATAATAATTAACTAAAAAACGTTGATCACTCGGTTTCGATTCATCTGTTTCCGTTATCTAAACTAGTTTTTCCGTCTTTTCACACGTTGATCATCAATGTATTCATTATTCATGAATAATATTTATTACTGTTCTATTTTATTGAGCGTACACTCTTCGCTTGTTTTTCGATTCTTTATGCGTATATAGCTGGGATTACCTCTTGGTAGCCTAGATTACAGCATGATTTGATAAAGATTTTTATGCTTAAAGATCTTTCTTAGGAAGGATTTTCTAATAAACTATGAAAATAATCAAACAGAATCATTAAACAATTAAAATACAACCAACTCAATTTGTTGAGTTTAATACGGTCTTACACTCGTTTTCTTTCCTATATAACATTTCTAAGAGCTTCACCTTCTCATATTTATCATTTAAATGCCTTAAAACTTTGTTTAAACTGCTTAATTCGTCAAATTCTTTTCAGTCCATTTTATAATATCAAAAAATCTTCTTTTGATGTGTAATAAACAGGATACGTTTTAAAACTTTCGAAAAGTTCGACTGATTCTCTTTAACAACGAATTTGGCAGCAAAAGGTTTATAAAAGTTGTTATTTTACAATTTTTATGTATAGTTGCTCTTTCTGAATGTTTATTTTGGTTCTTTATAACAAACAGTGATATTCGTTCTTTTTGTATAAAAATCGTTTTTTCGTGTGTCATGCTAGGATGTTGTGATAAAACTATTATAAACAGACAATCATCAAAACTCCTGTTTATGTACTTCCTTTTTATTCAGTTTGTTGTCTGTTATTCTGAATATATTTTATATTTTTTATGCTTATGTTTATATAAATGGATAATTTTACACCATAATGTATTTTATTTGATAAAATATATGTGAGAATTACTCAGATGTTATTGTTATTTTATTTATTGAACTGACTTGAAAAAATACTCTTTTAGCAGCTGAATTTCTGTAGATGTTAAACTACTTCAGCAAGAAGTCATTTTATAAAAATTAACATCAATAATATTGTATAACTATCATATTTTTTTGTCTAATATGGTGTCTCTTTTTTGAAAATTGATTCATTTATCCATTAGAATACAGTTGTTTGTTTGCTTTTGTAACTGACAACTTTTTGTATTACAGATACGTTACGTGCATCTCTCTATTCTATTTCAGATGTCAGTCCGAACTTTAGACAATTTATCTGCTGACTTCAAAATTATGTTGCTTATACGCGATATTTGATAAAAAATAATTCGTATGATTAAATGTTGATGAAATATCTATCGATCAGATTTATGTAGATGATGATTTGGGTGATAAAAGCTCTGTCAGCGATGAAATAATTCTTCAAACGATGATGTAGTTGAACAATTTGATCAAAATGTATCTGAAAATAATAGTGAAGATGGTGAACATGAAATGTTGATCATATTACGGTTGGTAATGAACAATTTTTTTTAAATAGAAAGACAACTCGAAATAACTGCTATGCATAGATCCATATCTAGAACGTCTTTAAATATTATGAAAGTTGAATGAAGATATAGTGTCTAATTCTTGGTTGAATATAGGTTTAAAAAAATGTTGCAAAATTCTACGTAAGGCTTCTGTTATTATTTCTATAGGTGTGTAAAAATTCTTTAAGAAAATCAAATATTTCGTTGTCGTTCTTTATAGAACAACATGATTGTGTTGGATAATTTATGCTTATAACAAAAATTCCGTCACAATTTTCACAAACTGTCAGAATCGTACACTATTTATTCGATAACTACTTCTTGATATGATCGAATTCAAATGAAATTATTTTATTAGCTCGATTAATCTTTTAACAGATTAATTAATGAAGATTCATGTCAACGATGTTGGTCGGTATTGGAAATCATAAAGTGAAATTCAAATACAATTAAATTAAATCAGAAATGTAAAGTATTTTAATATTCAATTCTTTTTACAAAGAACAACATTAATTGAAATATCTTTATTTAAATTATAAATAGACCTTGAGCGTCTCACTTTCAATCAATATCATTAGACAAAAAGATTTAATACACGATGTTGTGGATGCCACCGAAAAAATATTAAAATAAAGAACTTTTATGATTTGAAGAAAAAGACGTATTCCTAATATGAATAAAACAAATTCACTTTTCTTCCTGTTTCATATTTACAACTTTTACTGTTTATTGTTCATTCTATGTATTCTTCGTACAGTTTAGACAAGGGATTTTTGAATGCATTAGAAATATAGATTATTTCGCCTTTTTTCTTCTTCTTTGCATTTGAAAAAATGTAATATAAAGAAAACAAGACGTGCCTGGTTTAGAGTTGTCACCTGAAAAGATCTGAAAGGCGAAAAATGATTTTATTTTTATCTTTTTTTTCTGCCAATTTTTCAAGTTAATAACCATTTCTTTGGAGAGGAGTTTGTGGTCTAGCAGATTTAATTGTGGAAAAAAAGCGGGAAAGGTGACAACCCGGATCTAAGTCGTTCTACATGAGCAATATCTGCCTTCTAACTCGAACAATGAATTGAAAATCTCAAATGAAACTTCATTGTCCAACATAGTCGTTATTATGTCGATTGTGTTTAATTTTGGCCAAAAGTAAGCTTCAAAATTGATCGAAGTTAATCATCTGTGTAAAAATATTCTGTCTGTAAGCCGCAATAAGTGAGTATGGTATTTTAATGGCTATGATGGAATCTGATATCGAATATTGATAAATGGAATTACAAAATATAACAGTACTGTGGTAAGAGAAGATTTAGTAACCGTTTAGCACATTTTCTCAAAAGTAATATTATATTAAGCTCTTTTATTGTTAAATAACGATATCAATATGTATGCTATAATGTGTGTACGATTAAAAAGAGAAATTCTGAGTCGTATGCCATCTTTTTGTTATCTATTGAATAAAATAGGAAGTACTTAAAATTAATCATTGCTAACAACAAATTTGAGATTCACACCGAATGTAGTCGAATCTCTAATAAATAATATCTAACAACAATAGGGTTTTTTTTAAACTTTTTTTTATAGAAAAGATATTTGTACTAGGTGTATCTTTTGGTGATATGGACTTAATCACGCCTTTGAGATAAAAAAAAGTGTTTATTGAAAAAGCAAAGAAAAAAAAAAGAAGAATCATGCGGAATAAAACGTAAAAACAGAAATATAATCGATTATGATCAATATCGACCAGAAAAGACCAGATGTTCTTCTCTTCCATCTGGACAAAGAGAGAAAAGGTAAGGTGTATATAAATAGAGAAAGTACAAAAATTAGTATTTTATTTGATGCAAAGCGTGATTCGTACATTAGACCTTCAATAGAAAGAGAGAAAATATCTTGTTTTTTATTTTCAGTTTTTCTTACTATGCATCACATATTTCATGAGTTATATATCCTTTTTTTGCATAGAATAAATACTAGTTTAAAAAAAGAAAAGAAAAAGAAGGAAAAAATCGATGTTTTTTTGCATAGAAATTTCCTTGTGATTCATGGGGGGAATTTTTTTTGAGTCGTGCGAGAATGAGAGAAAATAAACACCGCGTAAAAAAAAAGCGTTTTTTATTCGTTTTATATGTAACTATAAACGACGACAGACAAACAGTCAAGTATTTTCTGTATTTGTCACAGGCAAAATTTTTTTTTTTTTGAATATTTCTATTACTTTAACTGTTATTTTAACATTAGAATGCTTGACTATCTTTCGTGATTGAAAAAAAAAGAAGTATATTTATAAAAATGCAACCATTTGTATTTATAATTGATTATGGTTAGTGTAAATTTGTACAGTTATTTTAATTTATTTTTGTCGTTTTAGACTTCCTATTTTCGTTTATTTATTTAAAAATATTCGTTTAATGCTTGGAAATACAAATTTTTACGTTCATATTCAAGCGAAAATAACATAATGATTAGAATGTCAAAATAGTTAACATTGATTCATGTTTTGAACAAGTTAATTCGACATAGGTAAAATTAATATTTTTCATCTCTCAAAATCTTTAATTTTATTGATGTCTTTATCTTTTTTTTTATGTAGATGTCAAACAAGATGAGACTATAATTAGAATTTAATACTCATCTATGATTATAATCATATATAAAAGGTAAGAATTATATGTCAATATTCTACGTCTTACAAAAACTTTGAACTTTTTTTTATTTTTTAACTTAGATTTTGGCTTATAATTAACATGATATTGTTTGAATGATATTCGTATTAATCTTACAAGAATGGTAGTTATCCTGCTTCTATCGAATGATATATTTACAAATTCAAATTAAATCTTCATCAAATCATCTCTTCAAAGCAAATGAATATTCTACTTAAGAGAACTTTGTTTCACACAAACAGTTAGTTGTATAATATGCGAGTAAAAATATTGTAATTTTTTCAGAAAAAGTAAAAATAAGATGGTACAAAAAAATCCAAAAAAAAAAGAAAAAAGGTGTTACTCCTATGTGTGTGTTGCTGAAAACTAAAATGTATTTTGAAGACTACTCATTGAATAAAAAAGAAGTTCATAGTGGTCTTTAAAATATGTTAGTTGAATATTCGTAATTTTATTGTTGCATTTTTTTCTAATTGTTATCTATAATCTATTCAGATTGATCTTATCTTTTTGTTTGAAAAAAATAATAAACAGCAACATAACACATGCATTTTGAGTGTCAGTAAATCTCTGTGTGTATGTGTGTGTGTATGGATGTGTATTTGTGTTATGATGATGAGATGTGAGTTCATTGTATCAATAAGATGTGTTAGAACATAAAATTTGCATGTGTGATGTTTACTTCTGTTGTATCTATTCCTCATTCTTGTTCATAAGGTTCAGTGATATTATTATATTATTATTTTATTCGTCTTTGAAATTAAACCCTTGTTTTTCTTATATTTTGTCGTTATTTTATAAATATTTGTGATTGAATATCCCCTTTTACTTTCTAAAAGAAAAAAGATACATGATTAGTTGTTCATTTTAAAAAAAAAAAAACTTTATTATCATCAATATTTGTTATTATCATGGTTATCAATTGTGTGCAGGTAAGTAAACTGCTTGAATTTTTCTCTCTTTTTTTTTTCACTATTTTTGAACGATGGCTAAAATACTCAATGATTACATATATGGAAGTAAATATGGAAAAATAACATCATATTTTCGAAAACACAAACGGTGCGTATTATTATCGAATGAACTGCTTTATATACATCTAGTTTTTGCGAGTTTTTTTGTCGCATTTTTGAATGAAAGCCATCTGAAACGAAGTTAGCATTGTGTCCATAAGTGGGAGTATCTCTTATCTTAAATAACTTATAAAATCGAATTAAATTAGCTGTAAGCAGTAGGCTTGATTATTACGCAAAAAAGCTAAATAAATGAAATATTTGTCGTTAATACTTCTGCTAGACAGTTGACAAGCCGCTTAGATTAGACTTAATAACGTTTGTATTACAGAACATTTTTACTCAATGATATATCTTTATGATTTTACACAAATTTTCAAACTATACATTGGTAAAGTTTTTATGGATAGAGCGTCATAATTTGTCTATATATCCTTCACAATTATAATCTGCTTTATCTTTTTATTTGTATTTGACTTTTGTTTTTGAATAAACTTCTATACAATTTTCTGTCTTATGTGAATTAAACTAGTTTCTATTATTGTGTTTTTTTTTGAATTTATTTAGTTTAGCTAAATCTACGCTTAGCATTTGATAAACATCAATAACTCTTATAAAAACAATAATGCTGGTAGTTTGTTCGAAATTCAACTATAGCTGGATATTCAACGTCCAAAAGTAGACAAGGGTGATTGAATTTTAAACATTCTAAGCCATTTTGTCAAAATTTGAATATTAATATCTCTGTATATGTTATTTGCAGGTTTACAACAGTTCGTACTCTATTGTTCTATTATCTTTGCAGTAGCAACAAGATATAACGATATTCAACAGTATGTTCTTTGTACATGGTTAGTCGTAGATTGTTACCATATCTTAGAACTGCTTGTTGATGGCATTTATATCATCTTTTCCGAATTACGGTTAGGATGAGATTAGATGAGTTAGATAAAATTTACAAAATATGTGATTAGTCCGTACATAGTATGATGATGTTTCTTGATGATTTAGTAGAAACATTGCGTCGGACATTTTTTCTGTTTTCGTCTTTTACATATGTGATGCTTTATTTTTCCGTATTTAGCCAATTTTTAGATAACCGAACTGTCAATCAAATTTGTATATTGGCCTTTCTCTGATAATTTGTTATTTGTATAGTATCTATTTATTTATTGAAGAGTTCAACGAACCACTGTGTGTACGTCGTGTATCAATAACAATTGTTTGGTTATTCGAAAAACTATAAATGCACACAATTTAAAAGTGAGAATTTATTGATCAATCAATACACAGGATCGTGGATAAAATTCCGTCGTTTACCTTCTAATTTAATGCTTGAATATAAGTATAGTCAATGATTTAAAGTCTATTTTCAACACATTTTCAAGTCTAATATGTCACAGAAGTGAACAACAGTTATATGTATCAAAACTTTTCTGTTAGATCTGACAGTTATTTATTTTTTTCTCAAATATTTAGAGTAGTATATTCAATAGACACTAAATGTCCGCAAAGTGCACCATGTAGAAAATCAATATTTTACATGTTCTATAACAAATAAGGATGTGCGGTAATCGATAATTTACCGTTGGTAATGGTAGAAACCTTCTTACCACGGTATTGATAAGACAAATTTACCGAAAAAAAAACGAAATTATCTTGGGAGCGGTAAAATAAATTTTATTGAATTTTGCTCCGGTAATTTATTTTTACTGAATTTTTTGCTTGTTTGTTGTTATCCATCCCAGGCACAAATGTATCTAGTGAAAGTACTTTTAGTATATCTGGATATTTAATACAAAATTGTGTTAATCTCAATGCTGGTCTTAGTTGTAGTATATTCCTGAAAGACAAACTTTAATTCATTAAAATAGACGATATTTTAGAATAGAAAAAGTATAGGTAGCGTAGAATAAATAGAATTATTTTGAGATGTTGTTCACCACAGAGCTATTTTCCACTTGTTTTTTTTTGAGAAAATTGAGAAAAAAAATGAGTATCACCACAAGTAAACAGTTGACGTAAAACGTTTACTGAAACAAGATAACGGTAAAAAAAACATTTTTCTGCGAAAAAGCCATTGGTAATAGTTTCTTTTACTGTGGTAAAAACCGATAATGGTGACAAGACAAATATTTACCGATTACCGCACATCATTGATCACCAATACATTTTGAACTATGAGGTTTAGCTTTTTTTAAAATGCACGTTTAAAACACGTACGAGTGATATAAAGTTGACTGCTTTTATTCTTTTAAGCGATTTCGTACAAGTGCTTACCATGCATATGTGTGAATTGCGCTTTACACATCATACATGTAAGCAAATTGCCAATTTTGAAGGAATAAGGCTTGTATGAAAATCAATACAAAAAAAATGAATATTGGAAACAACTTCGACCGTATAGTATTTGTATCTTTATTCGTAAAAAATTTATTTTGTTTTTTTTCTTTAATTCAAGTTTTAGAATACAAAAATATATTTATTTATTCTTTCTATGTTGGAAGCGTAAAACTTAAATCCATATAGTTTCAGTATATTCACATACAGATGAGATAGATGTTTTTATGTGTTAAATGGAAAGGTGTGTAATGAATATGTCAACTCGAATGAAAGTAATAACACAGCATGCACACTATATTTATTCGATTAAAGTAGTCTGTATAAATACAGAAGAGATACAAATACGTGCAATTTCATTATGCTTTTTTAGTTTTTCTCTTTTCAAATTTTTTCAATCGTTGATAAAAGAAGATGATTGACGGCGAACTACTTAGAAAATTTTTTGCAAAGTTCCAATGGACGGAAAACTACAGTGAAATGATGACAGAAATTTATCCACGATCCAAAAATAGCTGATATTTGCATAATTTACACGTTTATTCAGATAAAAATTACAAGTAGTAATATAGCTTTTTTCTACAGTTTCAATGGAAATTCAATAATTTTAGACAATTTTTACTAGGATAAATTTAATTGTTTGTTTTTTAGGCTGTTTTTTCTAATCTAATTTATTTATTATCTTTATCCTTTCCACTTTATTTTTTTTACATTATTACATCAAACAAACAATGGCAACTATAAGTGAAGAATATCAGGATTATAAAAATGCACTAGATAATTTAAGAATTAATAGTAAACCATTAATTAATATGCTAACAATATTAGCCGAAGAAAAAGTTAGTAGTGCATCAGATATTGTACGAGCAGTTGAAGAACGAGTACTTGAGGTATAAAATATTTTCAAGTATTTTTATTTATTTTTATACACATACTTTATTTTATTTGTTTAGGCTGCAGCCGATCAAACGTTACCAGTTCTATACGTTCTTGATTCAATTGTTAAAAATCTTCGTACATCAAATTATGTTCAGTTGTTTGAAATAAGGTTACCACAAATATTCGCAACTGCATTCAATAAAGTGAGCGTCTTATTATAACAATTAGAATTGAAACTAAATTTTTTTGTTTTTAATCATATAGGTCGATGAACGAACTCGATCCGCTATGTTTAAACTTCGTCAAACATGGGCACCATGTTTCAGTAATTTATCATTGTATAATTTGGATACAAAAATACATCAGATTGATCCAGCTTGGCCAATAACAGCCAAAGTACCAGAAGTAGCAACTGGTCAAACAATACACATTAATCCAAATTTTCCACCAAGAGTAAGTAGGCAGTTATATCTTGGCTAGCAGTCTGAATAAGATAATTATTTATTACTCGACTAGTCTAACACAACACCAACTACAATATCAACACCATCATCCGAAGAAATACGATTAACCGAATTTCGTAATCAGTTGACAAAAATGCAAAAAAATGATATTGAAAATATTTCGACTCGAACAAGAAATCAACAAACTCATGATATAAATCAAGTAAGAATAATGTAATTTCTAAGAAATATTGATATTTACATTGAATATTCTTTAATTTATAGCATGGTGCTATGCCACATCCAAAACCAGCTGATTTCGAGCCATCACTTACTAACGGACAGCAACCATCGTATCGTATGATTCCCATTGAGCGTATGCAAGAAATACGAGAAAAAACTGAACATGTGTTGAATACGGGTCTTGATGGTGAACTCAAGAAGAAGAAAAAACGTAGAAAGAAGAAGAAACCTACGCGACTTCGACGTCGGCCATCACAAACATTACCACAAATTGAATTGATCAGTCAATCGTCGTCGGAAGAAGGAACAGACGATGACGACGATGACGATCAACCACTAACTATTCATCATAATATAAATGGTACTACAGAATCTAAACTACATCTAAGTGTCACAACGGTTAGACCGGCCGATAGTACGAGTGGTGGGACAGATCACGATTTGTAAGTATAAAATGTTTGTATTTTATTTCTCAACTAACATCACCTTTAATTGTAGGGCAGAATTGTTCGGCGGTAAAGATATTGATTATCGTGATACAAGCAAACAACATAAATCAACAGCAAATCCAATAGATGCTCAACTTGTTTATGAAACGAATGCCAAACGTTTATCACTAGCTGAAAAAAAATTTAACGCAAAAGAAATGTCATTAAAAGATTATCAAGGAACATTAGAAGTTTTGAAGCAAATACTAGAAATTGAAGTAAAAAGATTAACAACTGAAGAGTAAGTACTGTAAGCTTGAAAAACGTACTTATAAATTATTACTTAATTACAAATGTTTCAATGTACTCCATTTTAATTTTTATTAGTGCCACAGCGAGTTACACTTTTGGCACTCATCATCCTATAGCATCAACACATCCCCATCATGTTCAATCTGGTCATATTTTACCATCACAAATACCCATAGTGCCTATGCAAATACAGAGTCGTTTGACGCCTTCTGCATTTGGCCAATATTATCCAGCAATGTCTGATGACATTCGAACTCATGTAATGCAAATATTAAACTCAGTTGGACCTATAAATCCTCAAATAATGCCAACGGGATTAAACAATTTATCATCTAATATACTTCCTATTCCCATTCATCCAACATTCCAACAACAACAACCACCAATAGTTCCTCAATTACCTCCACTAATTCCTCCACAAATCGCCGCAACTTTAGCAACATTAGCTCAACAGCAACACTTTATTCCTCCTCGTCCTCAGATAAACCCAACAATACCTACATGGCCACAAACAACTACAGCACTAGTAAATCAAACACCTGTTAGTATAATAGCATCAGCGGTTGCTAGTTTAACAAAAGCATCGTCAACTAACGGTGCTCTGGTACGTAGTACAAATTCTCCACAAAATCCATCATCAAATACTCCACCACCAACATCGACGGTGCAAAACACATCGCCTACACTCGATGCTACGATTCAGCAATTATTTCAAAACGATCCAATCATTGTTAAACGTTTACAAACATTTTTTGATCACATTCATCAACGTGAACTAGAGCGTTTGAGATCAAATTTGCCACCGATTACGACACGTAAGTCAAAGTCATTTTTACTATACTTCATTGGTATTCTTATCCTCTTTACCCTTTTTAAAGGTTTATCACATGATCCAAAAGAGAGTATCATCGAAATTGACGGAAAAACGTATGGTGTCCGAGTGAATCATTCTCATTGTATTACGTTGTACGGACAGAAATATGATTTCTACTGTGACTTATCATCAAAACAAATTCGAATTAATAACAAACATGTGTTTACAATGGGTGATAAAGAACATCGAATTAAACTGCCAGATAGTGGTGGGCGTGACATATTGATGATGTACATGGGCCGACAAGTCGATGTTTGGCTGGATTCGTATCCGTATGAGTTGCGAACTGATACACCACCCAAATATTTGAACGTGAACAATCGAAACATTCGAATTCAGATTGACAGTAGTAAAAACGAAATTTACATCAACGAGCGATATGTGGCTAATCTCGACGATCAACCTCGACTCATACAAGTGACACATCAAGATAATTCGACGACGCAGCATGAAATTCGTTTTACACCACCTCCTAAAACGATCATGATTGACGGTCAACCAAAGACAATGCGTTATGATCTGAAATTTCCGTGCATCGAAATCGACGGCAAATTTTTTGGTATTCGTTTTACCGGTCCTCCACGTGAAATATATGTCGATAATACTGCTCATCGTGTTCCATTCGATAGTTCTTCTACTCGAATTCATCTCGGTAAACGTGCACATGAAATCGCCTGGGGTGGACCAGGGTTTGAGGTAATAATCGACGGACGACCATATGAAATTCATTTTGATCAATTGCCACGTGAAATATACATCGGGGGACGACCACATTTCATATCGATACATGGTCAACCGCCTGAAGTTAAAATCCTCGATGAATTACCATTTTTAGACACCAAAGGTGGGGTTGGAGCATTAACGGCGCTCGTTCAGCTGTTCAATTCGAGACAACAAACCTTAAATATCCAAGAAATTGAAATGTTTCTGAATCTACTGAGATCGGGCTTGTTAACACCAGACGATACAACGTTATTGTTTAGTAATAATGATGACAATAGTAGACGAGGAGTAGGATCAAGACCCAGTCCAAAACGTTTGCATGACGATGATGAACAATATTTTGATGGTGAAAATGGTGATAGAAAACGAATGAAATCGAGTGAAAAATTTGATGAAGACAATTATGCAACGATACCTGACTTAACCGAGGCAAATCTAACAATGTTAAAGAAGTAAGTGCAGCTATTGCGGATAAAATCGATACAAGATTGGCAATAATGTTCTATTTTTAGAAAACATGTTGGAATTGTTCAGCAATTGTATTTGGGAATATTTCAATGTCGTCTTTGCGGATTGAGATTTACATCAAAACAAAAATTGTTGTATACACATCATCTCGATTGGCATTATCGTGAAAATCGTCAAGAAAAAGAGCTAGGAACATCATCGTCATCATTTTTGCTACAACGTAGTCGAGGCTGGTATTGTACGCTACAAGAATGGACAGAATATGAAGAAACGGTAGATGAAAATGAGCTACTAAATCAAAATTCATTAGCATTGAACCAAAATCAAAATGATGGGACTGGTGATTATACAAATACTCTGGATATGAGTTTCCTTACTAATGGCACAACCGCGGGTATTACCAATGATACATTACTGGCATTAGAGAATGCCGGTGGTACTGTTTCATGTCCAGCCGCAAGTGATCAAGATGATGTAAGTAAATAAATATTTTCATTGTTATTGATTTGTTGATTGTAGAATTAGCCTGAGTATGAGTCCTTCAATTCAAAGTTTTTCATCTTTTGCTTGCAGAAAAAAGCAAAGAGTTATTACATAATTTTTTTGTTGTCAAATGGTAGTAATCACTCTCTTTTCTTTTTTAAAAAAATACAGCGATGTTGTGTATGTGGTGATCAATTTCAAAACTTTTTTGATGATAATCGAGATGAATGGCATTTGAGAGATGCAATTAGGGTTGATGGAAAAATATATCATCCAATATGTTATCAAGATGTTAAAGCAGAAGTAAGTAATCGATTTATGATAATGTCTTCATTATTCAACGAAAAATATATGAAAATTAAAAAATGTTATTTCCTATCTAGACTACAGACAATCATATGGGAATTACTTCAAAGAATACTGATAATAACAACAACGATAATAGTACGACAACTGTTCCGATAGATATTGTATTATCTACGCCCACGCCACCATCGCCTTCTACTGGTACGAACAACACAAATACGTATATATCATCAATGTCATTTGTTGAATTAGTGGAAAATATTTTTATTAAAAAAGAAGATTTAATTAGCAAATCTTCGCCACCGACAGCGTCAACAGTCAATTCAAATAATAATTTATTTAGTGCAGTGAAAGAAGAACAAACGACATTAGAAGCAACAATGGATTTTGATTCGTTTTCCTTAACGACAGTCATAGAATCCGAAGATGAAAAAATTAGTGAAATAGCACAAATAGTCAAAATTGAACCTGTATCAAATGAATAAAAAAGTATATTCTCTTTTTCTCTCTTCTTTTTTTTTTTTTGTTTATATTTTTGGTTTGTTTGCGCGCGATTATTATATACAAAACAGATGGATTTTTTTTCCTTGCTTCTTTTGTGTGTACGTGTTTTTCGTCTACATATGTGTATGTGTATCTTTGTTTTGTTTATGTTACAAGAACACCGTCACTATCGTTTTGTTCTGTGTTTTTTTATCAATGTGTTTTGTTGTGTTTTTCCATTTTGATTCGTTTGTTGTCTGTCTCTATTTCTTTTTACATGTACAAATAAAAATATGTAAACACCATAAACCATATATAAACACGTGTATATAGAGTTGTATTGATTTTAAATCGTTACAACGAGTGAACAATGCTCACTCATTGTCATAAAATATGGAATATTTGACTACAATAGTTTAAATTGACAATTCTTTACATGAAAAAAAGAGCCAAGGTTTCTATTCGAGTCAAGCTTCAGATATATAAATTGAAAACTTCGATAGTCGAAAGTAGTTTCATTTCGGAGTATTATACTACATTTCAATTATCACTGGCATCCACTGATATAATTAAATTTACATTGGAAATCATTTTCAAACACTAATACTAACTATCATTTACTTGTAACGGGTGGCGCATAAATAAACGCACTCCCGTATTTTGAATATAACTCCGCCGGCTTTTATCCTATCGATCCAAATCTTTTTCCAAAAGATTCCTTATTGAATTCTCTACAAAACCATGTCATAAC